GTAAAGATGAATAACACCCCCCCAAAAAGCCAACCAACAAAACAATAAACAACAAAGAACCAAAAAACCATCTTTTAAATGTATAGATTCAGAAATGAAATGATAAATCAATAGAAATAGATAAACTATGGACAGAAATATTCTTGAAAGAAATGGTAGTGAATTCAGGTTTAGACTTAAATTTATGAAGTGTTAGAAGAATACTCCTCTGCTGATGTCAAGTCAGAGAAATCTGTCCTTTAAAGACGAGGTGAAATTTGAGAAGTTACAGTTTATCAGTAATATTTTAATATTCATTGACTCATTTATTCATTAAGTACATTTAGGTTGAGTTCCTATGATATGCCAGTTACTACACTAGCACTAGAAATTTGGGTCAAAGTCACAAGCATGATAGGATATTAAAATAAGAAAGAAAGATCCAAACATAAGCACTTGAGAAATAGGGAAAAAGTGAAGAAAAAAGAAAATCAGTCAAGGGACAGAGTAAGAACTAAGAGAATATACCATATTAGAAAAGCTTAAAAAGAGGCAATTAACAATGGCAGACACAAACAATAATAAACATGTATAAAATATCTAGCAAATAACCATAGAGGAAATAATTTCAACAAAGTGTTGGAGGCAGAAGTCAAACTGTATAGGGTTTTAGGCTTAAGAACTGATGGTATAGAGGCAGCATAAGTAAAAGTATATACTTTTACTGACCTAAGTAAAATATAGAAGAAAAAAAAGGAAAGAAAACAGACCATTCTCAAGGTAGCTTGAGAGGGTGGCAGAGTATAAAGTATTTATTTAGGAGATTTCATCAGTAATTTTCAGAAAAAATAAAATCATTAAATGAAGAGAGATTTAAATAAAAGAAATAAGAAATTAATGCAGGAACACTCCAGAGAAGTTGAGAGGATAGAGACAAAAACCAAACAGAAGTTAGTTTCACTGTAAAAGAAAACAGTAAAGGAATAACAATGCAGAGAAATTAAGGTTAAAAAAAGAAGTGTATCTGGAACAGCATAATTATTTGGCTTTCATTGCATTTACTAAGAGTCCTCAGTACTAATTTCCACATAAGGCATTTATAGGAAAACAATCTCCATTCCACACAGGAACCTCATTCTTTACCATGACAGAGCTTGTTAGAATCCTCTCTTTAATTGGGGTTCTAGTTTTGGCCCCAAATACCTTGAGATAAGACCATCATTGCCTCTTCAAATTCCACAGTAACCCTCACCATTATTCTAGACCCATGTCAGACATTTCCCATCATTCAGTTCTGACATCAAACCAATTTAACATAACCTAGGGTATTTTGAGGCTAATTATTTCTATGCAAGTATCTCTCATTTTTGTCTATCATGTACAAGGAAAGCCCTGGTGGCCCCTGATATCTTCTCTCTAAATCATCTCCTACATTCTGTTCAATTATGTTCTAAATCTCAGCTGAATTTTCAAGAATCCTTATTCTATTGTTGACAAACTTTCTTATGTAAAGCTTTCTCCAGAATGTTTTCTGCATATTCCAAACTTATATAACATTTAGCTGAATTGTGCAGCCTCTGCTCTGTGTAGCTCTCATCTGCATTTTTCACATTTCACAGTCCATGGACCCAGAAAAGAAGATCAGCTCCTTGAAGATACTTCTGATCCTTACTCTCCTGACATAATGTGCAAAATCCTTACTTCTCTTAAGGATGCCAAGTAGCTGTAACATCCACTATTTTAATTCAGATGGCTAGTAATCTATCCATTTTACAATTACTCTCTCCTAGTCATTGATAATTTAGGGAACTGGCTTTCCTACAGCTTCTTTATCCTAATTCCTATATTAATGGTAGATTTCAATACATATACATGAAGAAATTTGTTCAACATGAACCCCAATTTTCATATTTTTGTAAATTTAATGCTCCTCAATCTCCTACTTCTGGGGAAATATTATTGAATCTTATCAAATAAAAAGAACCATGTGGTAAGGGAACTGAGGATTTTTCTGAGAATGAATTCAATTCCTGGATATAAAAGTAGGTAAGGAAAGGTGGAAACTTAAATAAGGAGAAGGTAGGGGCAAAGAAAGTATATTTTTCTATTTAGATAAAAGAATAAGTGGGCTAGAAGTTAATCAAAGAATAAGAAAGAAACATGCAATTCTGTAGTCTAAGTGTGGAGTAGTATTTGAATTAAGGTATCAAAGACATTAATTTCAAGTGATGATAAAACTCGGAGTATGGCCATGGAAGTGACTGTCTGAAATAGAATTAGGGGTAAAGCTCAATACTATATTTGAGATAGTTGAGAAGTGAGTGGGTGTTGAATAAATCTTTCAGGGAATGATGGCATTTACTCAAGCTGATGGCAGTACTTGTAACAAAAAAGACTAAAGTCAGGTGCAATAATCATTAGTGAATAAAATAACATAACCAAAAGAATAACAGATGATAGAAATGTAGAAGGGTTAGGGTTTGGTTTTAGTTAGTTTTAGAACATATAAAAAAGGTCTAAGTATAGGAGTAAAAGATAATAAAGACAGAACATTGTAGAAATAAATACAGGAGAATGACAGTTGACTAAAAAGCTTTATCTTCAAGAGTTATTCTAAGAGAGTGGGTAATAAGTCAGCCAAGGACCTCCTAATGGATTAGGATGGAGGTAAGAGGAATAGATAATTTAGTAGAGTGAGAAACAAATGATCAAAGTAGAGTTAAAGAAAAAAGCAAAGGAAGGGAATATTAAACTGAAATTTAGTGGAAGAGAAGCAGGGCTTCAATAGACAAGAATTATATACAACCAGGTATTCTAATTCTCATTTTGGGAAGTATATTCATTTTTTAACTATGCTTTAAAACTTACACATATTCTTTTTTTTAAGTTTGGACACAAATTCTTTTTTAAAAATATTTATTTTTTTATTTGTAGTTGGACACAATACCTTTGTTTTTATTTATTTATTTTAATGTGATGCTGAGGAATAAACCCAGGGCCTTGACGTGCAAGGTGAGTGCTTAACCGCTGAGCCACAACCCCAGACCTACACATATTCTTTTGTATGTATTAAAATAATAATAACAGCAAAAATACAAGAATAACTACAGAACTTCATTTTTACAACATCTATCCAAGTGTTTAGTATAAGCTAGGCTTATGATTTTCTACTATGTTAGAACAAGGCAGGTACATGTAAAATAGGCATGTAAATGTACAGAGGAAATCTTACAATTAGACATTTGATAACCTATTTTTTAAAACAAAATTTCCTGTGTTATATTACATGAAGAACGTCAATAATCTTTTGTTTCCTGACCACAAACCAAATCATGTCATATAAAGATAATTCATATAAATAGACTGATTAGGCTGAGTTTCAAAATGTGGATAAGATATGAAATTGATAACCAGTGTAGAACTGATCAAAAACTAAGTCTATCTATATTAGCAAACTAAAAATCTAGCACAAAGCAATCTACTTACTGATAACAGAGACTAAGAAAAATGCAAAGCATAAAAAAGTACTAATTTTACTTAAAATGGTACATGATTTTAACTTAAAATGGAATGAAGAGATAGCAGAGTAAATAGAATAAGACTAAAATAAGTAATGTCTCATTCATGCATGTCACCCACCTTAAGAAAAGATGTGAACAAGTGCCAGGAACCAAGAATATACCTAATTTTTAATATTTTTCATAAGGTAACTTGCAACCAAAAAATAGAATGTATCATATAGCAACAGGAAAATTATAGACAAAACAACAAATAAGTAAGAATTATTTAATTTTAAAGCAAAATAATAGAAAAAAGACAATGTGCAAAAGAAAATTAAATATATGTATATTAAATGTATATAAAATTATAAACATTCTTATATAATTAAATTTCAAGGCTCTAAATTTTATTATATTTATAGAAAGATCACAAAACTTGAATTATTAGGAAATTATTGTCAATATTATCTTTTACATTTCCTTGCATATTTATCCACATGAACGCAAACTTAGGAATTTATCCATGAGTTTTCATTATTGTTTCTAAATTCTTTATTATCAACTCTTAATTAGCTATTTTAATAGGCATAAAGGAGATCACACAGAGTTCCAAATCACTTTGCAACAATAGTTAGGGTGAGTAAATATGGCAAGTAATTCTTAATCTATACTAAAGTGAATCCACCACCACATTATCATTATCATTCTCTTCTCTGCTAAAGGGCCTCAAAAATTGCCAGCAAACTGTCTTAAATTCCAAAAATTACATAGAGCTTTGAGAATTTTGCAACTTTTAGAGACCTTCTTTCCCTGTTCTTTTTTGGTCATCTCCAGTTTCTATTATATGACAGGTAACCAATATTTCCTTGAAATACAAATCATATTTAAAGTATCAGAACTGTTCTCCCTATGATTCATTGAAATTCCTGCATTGGAAAGAAGGATAGTGGTAGACTAGAAATGAAAAAGGATTTCAGACTTGGTATTCCACCCAGATCCAAGATTGTCTACTATGATCAATGAATATATCACAGCCAGCTTTGACAAGGTAACCACAAACAAATCACTTCAACCTAAGCACTTCAAAGACAGTCTCTTCTACTCTTGATCAGGGAAACAGGCAAGCAGGTTGTTAAAACGTATAAAAATCAATCAGTTATTTTTAAACTAAAAATAACCAGTGAACTCTGTTGAGGAAGGTGATAGTCAAATGCAAGTAATTTAAAAAAGAATACAGTTATTCTATCCTTCTAGATAATAGTTAGCTAAAATTCCTAGTGAACTAAATATTTAGGAGAATAAAAAAGATGATCCTAGTTGTCCAAAAAGAAACTTCATTTTCGATATTTTGTTATAATCAAATAGGTTATGTATGTTTTTGTATTATTTTATAAAGGTAATATTTCTATGTTTCATTACAACCATTTATGTATATAAAAACAGAAGTAAAGTGAATTATATTACATCAATAGACAGGAACATGCAATTCTACAAAGAGACTCAATTGTAAGAAAAATATACCTGCCATCCCTGTGATGATGGTCAATGGTCTGACTGTATCTGGAGCGAGGTAGAGTAAGAAAATGACTGCAAGCATGCCAGAAACAAGAATATAAATGAGACTCAGGAAAAAAGGAAAAAAAGGCATAGTTTAATTTTAAAGTGAGATTCAAAAAGATAAGCAGCTAGCAAGCAAAGTAAATGAAAATTGCTACTGTAATGTTTGCCCCTCCTCCCAATGTAAATTATAACATGGCAGTGCTAAAGGTTAAAGTAGCCTAAATATTCTAAAATAAAATGCAACAAAAATATAACAATCAGACTTTTAAAAATAATATTTCAAAATAAAAATTTTAAAAATTACCACTCAAATATCTTCTACACCATTTGGAAAATGTTATACTATGTAGATGTTTTCCTATGTTTTAGGAGGAATGTTAAAAAGAGAAAAGTAATGAAATAATCATAAAGTTTAAGGAAATCATAAAAAGGGTAATAAATAATATCTATAATGTCTTAGGAGATTTTATAAGGTAATTATTTCTCCTTCAATCATTAATAATTAGAAATAACTATGAGGGCTTTAAAAATTCTATTTATTAAAAACAAACTGATTCACATTATTTTATTTGATTATTAATTATGTTTATTTGATTTATTGGATATTATTCATTTTTCCATTCACTATTTTGTGTTCACTACATACTGTTTGCCTCCATTACATTTCATGCCTTACCACAACCATAAGCAACCAAAGCAACAAACTAACCTTTTTACCATCTGTATTGATTCTCTTCTTTTATGGTACTAATTTAAATTTTTCAACTTTCTTAAAACCTTTAATAGCAAAAACATTTAAACATGTCAGATGATCACCATGTTTCAATAAACAGTGGAAACAAACCTTGAACTCTCCCGTTTCTTAATTCTATCTTTAAATGGAAAGTAAATAGGCATATATTTGTATTTTCCCTTGTCCTTATCATCTGTACTAAAAAAGAAATGCCTCTACTTGTAGTCCTTCTTCTCACATGACTTGGCTTCATTCATTACTCTATTCTACATTCTCTTTCTCATCTACATAATCCAAAAGTAAATCCTTTGCTAACCTAGCCTCCCTCTGGAGCCACTGTCTCTTTATCACTTTCTTCTCATTATAAAACATCTTAAAAGACATATATCTACAATTTTTGTCATCATGTTCTAAGCTTAATGTAACTGACTTATGCTTCTATCATTCTCTTGAAGTTATTTTGTGAATGTTATCTGCAAAATCCTAAGGGGGAAAAAATCCCTTTAGTCTCCTGTTGATTTTCATCACATTACATTTTTCTACAATATTAGACCTTGATTTTCAAACTTCTATTACTTAACACTTTCCTGTTTTAGTTTCTTAAACCTTATTTTTTCTGTTTATTAAACACAGTATTTATCTAACATCACATACTCAATTAAGACTTTTGTCGACATTATCTCATTTACAGTCTGATAATAACTCTTAGAGGCAGGATCTAATATACCCAATTTGAATCTGAGACCATGAGGGCTCACTTATGGCCATGCAGTATGTAGCAGGGGTGGGTTTCAAACTAAGGGGTTTTAAATTCAGAACTCAAGCTCTTAACATTTATATATGTGGCCTGGTTTCCCACAATCTGAATGCTTCTTTTTCCATTTCATTTGCTGGATTCCCTTTCTCTGTATTCCTTATAGGCAGTGGTTTTCAAAAAATCATTCCTTTATCCATTCATCTATTGAAGGGCATCTGGGTTGGTTCCACAGTCTAGCTATTGTGAATTGTGCTGCTATGAACATCGATGTGGCAGTATCCCTGTAGTACGCTCTTTTAAGGTCTTCAGGGAATAGTCCGAGAAGGGCAATAGCTGGGTCAAATGGTGGTTCCATTCCCAGCTTTCCCAGGAATCTCCATACTGCTTTCCAAATTGGCTGCACCAGTTTGCAGTCCCATCAGCAATGTACAAGAGTACCCTTTTCTCCACATCCTCGCCAGCACTTGTTGTTGTTTGACTTCATAATGGCTGCCAATCTTACTGGAGGGAGATGGTATCTTAGGGTGGTTTTGATTTGCATTTCTCTGACTGCTAGAGATGGTGAGCATTTTTTCATGTACTTGTTGATTGATTGTATGTCCTCCTCTGAGAAGTGTCTGTTCAAGTCCTTGGCCCATTTGTTGATTGGGTTATTTGTTATCTTATTGTCTAATTTTTTGAGTTCTTTGTATACTCTGGATATTAGGGCTCTATCTGAAGTGTGGGGAGTAAAAATTTGTTCCCATGATGTAGGCTCCCTATTTACCTCTCTTATTGTTTCTCTGGCTGAGAAAAAACTTTTTAGTTTAAGTAAGTCCCATTTGTTGATTCTTGTTATTAACTCTTGTGCTATGGGTGTCCTATTAAGGAATTTGGAGCCCAACCCCACAATATGTAGATCGGAGCCAACTTTTTCTTCTATCAGACGCAGAGTCTCTGATTTGATATCTAGCTCCTTGATCCACTTTGAGTTAACTTTTGTGCATGGCAAGAGGAGGGGATTCAGTTTCATTTTGTTGCATATGGATTTCCAGTTTTCCCAACACCATTTGTTGAAGATGCTATCCTTCCTCCATTGCATGCTTTTAGCTCCTTTATTAAATATAAGATAGTTGTAGCTTTGTGGATTACTCTCTGTGTCCTCTATTCTGTATCATTGGTCCACCCGCCTGTTTTGGTACCAGTACTATGCTGTTTTTGTTACTATTGCTCTGTAATATACACCATGGAGTATTACGCAGCTCTAAAAAATGACAAAATCATGTTATTTGCAGGGAAATGGATGGCTCTAGAACAGATTATGCTTAGTGAAGCTAGCCAATCCCTAAAAAACAAATACCAAATGTCTTCTTTGATATAATGAGAGCAACTAAGAACAGAGCAGGGAGGAAGAGCAGGAAGAAAAGATTAACATTGAACAGAGACATGAGGTGGGAGGGAAAGGGAGAGAAAAGGGAAATTGCATGGAAATGGAGGGAGACCCTCATTGTTATACAAAATTACATATAAGAGGTTGTGAGGGGAATGGGAAAATAAACAAGGGGAGAAATGAATTACAGTAGATGGGGTAGAGAGAGAAGATGGGAGGGGTGGGGAGGGGGATAGTAGAGGATAGAAAAGGTAGCAGAATACAACAGTTATTAATATGGCATTATGTAAAAATGTGGATGTGTAATCGATGTGATTCTGCAATCTGTATTTGGGGTAAAAATGGGAGTTCATAACCCACTTGAATCTAATGTATGAAATATGATATGTCAAGAGCTTTGTAATGTTTTGAACAACCAATAAAAAAAATTCATTTCTTGATCTTTGTATATTCCAACACATTCTTTCTAAATAAAACTATTTGGGTTTTTAGCATGAATGATTATTTTGTTTAGCCTTCATTTTTCTCTGCGTTAAACAGCCTATGTCCAACTGCTTCCTGTGTTATCCCCATGTTGGAGTGTCACATAGACAAATCAGGAAAACATGTTGATTAATGTGGCTTAAGTAATATACATTTTGCTATTGGGACATCTGGTGCTGCATTTGTGAAAAGAGAGAATTGAAACAGTAGTTTTTAAATTTTTTTAAGAATATCACTTATTTTCAATCAAAATTTGACACTAAATCAATATTAGGAACCAAATAAAATCAAAATGACTCTAGCTAATCAGGAAGTGAGAAGCCTAGATCCTTACCCATTTGGCCTCATTATGATCTACCATAGCTGACTCTGAAGTACCTATTCAGAACCAAGGACCACTTTATCTCTAAAATCTTTTAATTTCAAACCAAATTATTTAATCCCCCTTGGATGTTAATATGATACTTCAGCTATTCCTCTTCTTGAAATCTCAATTGCAACTAAGGATTTAGATATTCATTTAATAAACTAAGTTATAAAATCTCAGAATTTAACTCCTCCAGTTCCTTATTTTCCACATTTAATTGACCTATAGGCTTTGCTATTTCTGACAACTAAATAACTCAGATTTTTCCCATCTTTCTTTTCTCCTGCCACTACCTTAAATCAAGCTTTGAAATAAGCCAATCTCTTGAAATAAGCTTCTCGTAGGTTTCCCTACCTTCAGAACACAACATTTCCATGACCTAGTCCATTCTTCACCTTATCTATAGAAGCATATGTGTAAATTATGCTTTCTGATTGTGCAGGTACCTTAATTGAAATATTAAAATATTTTCCAATATCTAAAAGTAAGTACAGATTACTTAAGAGTTCTAAACCACTTTCAGTCCCTATCTCCTGTCACTTTTTATCCCCCAAATCACTTTTATCTAGATACAACAAACTACCTAAATATATCATGTACTTTCCTGACTCCAAGACTTGCTCATCACTCTGTCAATAATGCCCATAATTCCCCCTCTATCTCTGCTTTTTGCCTATGAAAATCATTATCAATCTTTAAAGTTCAGTTTCTCTTTGAAGCTTTCTCTATGAGACTCAAACAATTTTCTTTCCAATCTGTTCCAAAATATTATGCTTTAGCCTCAAAGTCTTCTACTTCTTATAATTAGCCAGTATATGATAATCTGTCTATCAAGACCAGAATAATGTCTTCAACTTTTTGCCCACAATGGCTTACTCACTCGATCAAGATACATTTTACTAAGGAATAAAAACAAATTAATGCCATTTTCATGATGAACCTTCTCTCCCCCAAAAAAGCAGTGGTTCTCATAATCACAGAAGTACCCTAAAAATGTTAACAGAGAAATATAAGCCTATATAGAATAAGAAAATAAGGAAGTATTTTTAAATTTATTAAAAAGAATAAAATAACATCAAACTTGTGACATTGAGATTTACTGCTCTTAAATAGGAATAAATTGTCTCCAAATACTATATAAGAGAAAAAGTATAAACTTCAAAGCTTGCTAAAGGTAATAAATCTATAAAATATGTACTACATCATCACCCAGTTTCTAATATTGTTCTTGAAGAGTCCTAATAATTAATTTTGTCCCAATAAAGCCAAAGAAGCATTAAGTAAGAGTCAATTTCATCAATTTATTTTCTCTTTTCTACTTTTAGTCATGTTAGTTCTTAACCTTACTGGTCATGTCTCTCCCTTAAGATTCTGTTAAAAACTGGAAATACATGAATGAACACACAATTTGCCATTCTGTTTTAATAAACCTTTTAAAATTCAACTAAGGTCCACAGATATATTAAAGGCCCCTTGTTGCATCCACTTATTACAACCTACACACATTTTGCACTTCTTCACTAACGATGTTTCCTTTTCTTCCAAAATTAAATTTTAACCAAGTACATTATAAAACGTAGGCAATTAATATGTATGATGTTTTAAATATGAATAATGAATTAAATAAACAAGATTTATTAATAAATAAATTACACTTAGGAAAATCTGGTTGACAATTTTTAAAAATCTGATCAGAGTAGTACTTCATAATAAAAGTAAAAAATAGAAAACTAATATATTAACTAAATTTGAAAAGGCCAAAAACAAAGTTCCATACTCTAAGAATCATGATTAAAAATATTTTTCAAAGAACTTGGGTTGGGATTGTAGCTCAGGGATGGAGCACCTGCCTCCCACATGTGAGGCACTGGGTTCAATCCTCAGTAACACATAAAAATAAATAAATTAAATAAAGATATTGTGTCCATCTACAACTAAAATAATATTTTAAAAATATTATTCAAAGAACTGAACTAGATTACTAATTCTATTTATAGACACATTTTCTTAAGTAATAAACCTTTAAAGAAAGCACAAAATTTTTCATGATTACAATGAATTATCCTACCTCTATATTAAATTAGGGTGCATATTGCCTTTAGGAATCACCAGATACAAAAAGTAGCACAAGAGGAGAAAATAATTCAACAGCTCATCCATAAGAAAAAGTATAGTTTTTGAAAGCTATTTCCTACAACTCCAACTTAACATAAAACTTTCTGCTGTGTGCTTAATATTGTTTATATTGTGTCTACAGTTCTATATTGTACCTACTGTCTTGAAATATATTTCTGAAATGTAACAGAAATATTTATAAAGTGAAGTTGAAGTCTCTTTCTTCATTTACTTAACTCTATAATTATAAACTTTCAGAGATGTAAGGACCAAAGACATTATTCTTTTTGATGAAATAATTATGTGTATATGCTATATTTTTTTGGTTGTTGGTTTGTCTGGGAGAGAATATAAAAATGGCTTAAGTGTATGAAGTATCCCAGAGGTCAACTAACAAAACATTTTTTATTTTAGAATATAAATCTATTAATTGAAGTACTTGGGGGAAAAGGTATAAGGCAATTAATATTCTGTTGTGTTATTTTCCCTATAATGTTAAATGTGTATTTCACAGAAATAAAACTGTTCAATATATTTTGGATTATGGGATAGATATAAAAATGTATACTGTGGGGTAGCTCTGACATGTTACAGAAATATTATCCAATACTCTGCATACTCTAGTAATAAATTAACTCCTATAGGCAAAGTGCTTTTAAAATGATTTCTAATAATAAAGTCACATTATGTTCCTGATTGCAGTAGTTATCAAGATTTATCAGAGAAAGAATAATACAAAAGGGAGGGAAATGGCAGAAGGTAATATTTATAATTCATTATTATAACTAATATTCCTACATACAGGTTTCTGAATTATTTGTAAAGAATTCCTTTACATTTTAAAACAAAAAAAGGGTTTTGACTAATGATGACAGAGTGACATATGCAGAGAAGCAAAGATCCAATAAAATATTGACATAGAATTTTTTTATATCCACCTATTCATAAAGAATGCAAACACTGTATCTCCTCCTAACACCACTAAAGTGTAACCACAGTATAAATTAATGTCAAATATTATCATTTCCCACCTATACAATTATAATAAAAGCCACTGCCTTCACACACAGCTTTCCAACACCTGCCCAGACTGGACCTCTATGATGTATGGATGAGTATATTCTGATTCTAAATATTTGCTCTTGTTCTTGACTGAATAAACATTCCCATAACTCAAAGTCCAATTCACATCCTCCATTCTCTAGAAGACTTTGTATAAAAAACCTGATTTGATAGATTTCTGAGGTTTTTTTAATTTATTAAGTAATTAAGCACAAATTATTTACCAAGCAAAAGAATTTTTTAAATGTTAAGAATAAATTTTTGGTGTACACACCATACAATTCTTGAGGAGGGAATTAGGGGTATGTGTCACACTCTTTGGTAGTTGGTAAATTTACACAACTTTTTAAAGTTGGTAAAAATATTCTATTTTTATAAATAAGGAAGTCAAGTGTCGCACAGGTTAATTTTTCCAAAGATACATAGTAAGCAAGAGATAAAACCCTATTCTCAAATCCAAGGCCACTTTGTTCCAAATCCCACAAAAATGAGTGCATTCAATAAAACATTGTTCTAGTCCATTGCATTAATTCATAGTGACAAGAAAGATTAATGTGTCTCTCAAAATACTTAAAGTTTACTTATGATCTCGAAACAAAATCTCTTTTAGGCATTGTAGTCAACATTATTATTTATTGACATTAAAAATGCTATCCATGAAATTTTATACAAGAGTTCTAGATTATTCTTAACTTCTAAATAGTACATAAAAGTATAATGCCTTCACATATATATTATTATTGAAAATCCATTATTGTATTAGGCTAAAACAGAAATTAAAGATTCATAGTTTAATAATGTGATAGACTACACATATCTACAATATTATTCTTTTAGATCTTTGATTCCTGGATTAATGAATAATTATTACAGATAACTTAAAAATATCAGAAAATTTTTTTTACTTCTATTTAAGTAGAATTTTACTAATTTCAAAAAAAGGATTTAAGACATCTCCCAATTCAGAATATTTGTGATCTAGCAATCTATAGCATTCTTAACAGAGTAATGAAATCACATGGATCAATTTTCTATAAAATAATCCCTTGAAAATTTTTGCTAAAATCTTAGAGTAAAAAATTTATGCAATGAAATTTTTCTTAAAGATATAAATTGGGTTAGATAAAAAAAAGGATACTGCAGGAATATTTGGTATGACTATATAATTACTAGGGATCAATCACTAGGATTGAACAGCAATATTTTAAGGCAAATTTTACATTTCTTGTCATTAAATATGGGGCCATTTCCTTGAAATAATGATAAAATATTATGCATTTACTATGATACCATCCATTTTTGTTTATGCATACAATTCTAGAGATTGAACTTTTTGTAATCTTCTGCAAGATGTAGACCACAATTACTTGTAAAAATATTGAGTCCATTTTTTATTAAATGAACACTTTATATAAATTTGCAGAAGGCTTAAAGTCATTTCAGTCTTCCTCATTTATTCCTTCTTTTAACAAGCCTTTAATGAACAAGGAACTTATGACTTTTTCTAAAAATGATTTCCAAAAATTATGAAGCTCATTAAAATTTTCTTAGGCAATCAAAATACCTATTAATATCCACCATAATATGACTGCTTCAAACTCCTAATCATGCCAACATAGTAATCCTTCTTTCACCATTATTAAACATAATAAGCATCACTTTCTATAGGTAGCATATCTATAACCACCCCTAAAGGCACAGATTATTATGAAAAAGTTAAGTTAATTAAAAATAAATAAAATATATCAACTTTAATTTGATACTAATATTGATATTAACTTAATAACTTCCTAATTTTTTCTGGATTCCAAACACAAAAAAATAGTACTTGTCTGACACTATTGAAGATATCCTCTATCTCTTTCTTTGGAGATGTTTGCTAAAGCACAATGAAATTGTAAAAATGAATTGAATATAAATCTAGATTCAGTCAACACATTACATTTGCAAATACTGACAGTGATTTGTCATATCAGTTGATTTTAAAAGCCCTCAACTGTTTTTTCTAAAACTAGTTTAGTATGCATACAAAAGAACATCTGAATTCCCTCATTATCATATTTTCTGAATAGTAAATTCATCTTACTTTCCTCATCTTATCACCAAAGCATGAATTAGAGGTAAACATTTTCTTAACTTAAAAAAATTAGTAATAATTAATGTAAGCACTGTAACATACCATGTTACTTCCAAATTTGTCACATTTAATAGAGCACATTCAGAGAATTCTTCCAAACATATCAATCAGCAAGCATGATTCTTAAGATGAATAAAAGGTTTACTGAAAGCCATGAGGAAAAACCTCTTCATGAATCATGATAAAACGTTTCCTAAACAAATCAGATTCTGTCTCAATACTTTTATATCTGAAATGTCAAATTGATTTTTCTGATATATGTAAAAGACTTTAAGAATCTATTGTCTTATTATTTTACATATAACTATTGGTTTTAACAAGTAAAATGATAAAACATCTTGTTTTTAATATGATCATAATAATCTATTGTGCAAATTCCATAAGAACTAGTTTATAATAGGCCAAAATTGCAAAAGCAAAATGTTTTTTTCTCTCACAAAAAAATGTTGTTTATTTTTTATTTGTTTAGCAATGTGGCAATCATAAGAAAGACTGGACATAGTAAAAAGAATACATGGCTTTGGAAACTAACATAAAGGACTGCTTGAAATGTTCTGTGATAATCTTTTCCATTAGGTAGTGACCAAAATAAAGTTTAACAGTATTTATATTTACCTGTCTCTATCTGGAGAGTAATGGTCATCCATGATATGATGTCTATCCATTCGGCTAATTGTATTATAATGTCCAGTTGTAGTACGGGTCCCTCGAAGTCCCTGTTCCACATTCCTACTAAAACAGCAAGATCCATTAAATATAAGCCATAAGCTCATATTATAATAAGAAATTCAGTTATTAATAAAAATGGTAGAAAAAGACAAAGTCACTGCAATGTCAAGTACAATTATTTCATTTAACCTCTGGCCAATATAAAAATTTTGTTGAAGTTTGAGAGTTAATTGAAGAGATTGCTGATAGAGGCACAAAAGAGCCTAAATTAATATCATTGGGGATAAGATAAAGAATACTAAAACTGTTAATAAATGACTCCCCGTAGCAATATCCAATGGTATATGATACACAGGAGGAGTAGTACATGTGTGTGGTGAAAATTAGTTCCATATTACACATATTGGTTTACAAGACCTACGAGAATGGAGAAGAGATACCTCATAGGTGCTTGCACATGAGCTCAGAGCTCAGAACAACTCAAAAATCTACCTACTTTTCACCATCTCCCTTGGTAGCACTCTAGACAAATAACCACCTTCATGTATTTACTCTAACAATAGCTGCCTAAGTATTCTCTTGCTTCAACCCAATTGATCATGACAGAAAGCAATCCTTTGAAACATAAAGATCACAGCAACTCAATTTATAGAATAAAAGGTAAGAATTGGTTTTTAATTTTATTCTACATGGCATGTTTATCTTCCAATCTATTCTTTCCATAGTAATTTATAGTGCTACCTTTATTGTTCTATAAGTTAAAATATATGCACGTAAGTTATATATATATATATATACACATATATGTGTATATATATATATATATATAATGCACCATAGAGTATATTCAACATGTCTATTATTATGTATGCTTAGTGATGACTTTTTCTTTTCTCTTTGAAATGATTTAATTATTTGTATACATTTATCCTTTCATATAAATTCTAGAGTGATATCACAGTTCTAAAAATTTCATAAAAAATTTTTATTGGTACTGCTTTACAGATTAATTTGTGGAGGACTGCCATCTTGATTATATAAAGTTACTATACCCATGAACTGAATTTATCTCATTTATTACTTACCTAAGTTTTATATTTTTTCTTAAGGTCTTATTAATTGTTAAATGAATCATTAGATATTTTGAACTTCATGCTGTTTTTAAGACTAGTGCCATGTTTCTTATTATATTTTCTTATCAATTATTACTTATTTTTTCAAGTTGATATATGGCCAGGTGTTTGGTAGAACTCCCATAATAATTAATTAATTAGTTAATTAATTCTATAAGGAGTTACCATAAAGACATCCAAACATCATGCTTTTATTCATGGTTAGATTTACTTAGTTAATATAAGATTTTTACACCTGTGGTTGTAATTAAAATTGTGCTTATAATTTTTTATACTGTAAAGATTGTTAGTGAGGATTATATTAGTTCCAGAAAGAGTTACACAGCTTCATTTCTAAAGTTGTATAGAACAGAGATATCTGGTTTTGTAATTTGGTTAGAATTTATGTGTAATAACTTCTTAGTCTGAACTCTTTGAGTGGAAGGGAGAAGGGAAATGGTTTGTCTTTGACCTCTATTATGTTGATGTCATTACTCATATTTTTTTCTCCTTTTTCTTTTTTTCTCTTTTTGTACCTCATTTTGTCTCAATTTCATCAATTTTGCCCTCATCATTAATAATTCCTTTCTTCAAATTCCATTATGATTTCCTTTGTTTTTCTATATTTCATTTTTTAATGCTTACTTACTGAGTTTACCATTTTCTTTTTTTAAAAACTGACATGTTAAAATGTCATATGTTTATGGTATATAATGTATATAATCATTGTAGAATGGCTACATCAAGCTTAAAAACATGCATTATTACCACAGTTATCAGATGCACATGCATTCCTTTTTATCCTTTTTTTTTTTTTTTTTTTGGTACAGGGAATTGAACCCAGGGGTACTTAACCCCTGAGCCACATCTCCAGCCCTTTTTTATATTTTGTTTAGAGATAGGGTCTCACTAAGCTGCTTTAGGGCTTCACTAAGTTGCTGAGGCTGGCTTTGAACTTGCGATCCTCCTGTCTCTGCTTCTGAGCCACTGAGATTACAGGCAAATGCCACTATGCCCATCTCTTTTTTATTGTTCTGATGATTGTTCCTAATATTAAAGATTAATTTTATTTTTCTTATTTCTTAAGTCACCAATAAGTATCATTTATGAGTATAATTAGTTGTTACTAACTAGATATGCTAAATACTGACATGTGATTAAAGCTAATTCTTAATTAGAAAATAATTATATATAAACAAATGATAAAATAATATTTAGATAATTCAACTTTACAAAGTAATTCTTATTTCATTTTATCCTCATTACATGTTTTATTGAATAGTATTATGTTTTTTGTTAAGTAACTTTTTTCAATAAGAATTTATCTTTAGGGCTGGGGTTGTGGCTCAGTGGTAGAGCGCTCCCTAGTACGTGCGAGGCCCTGGGTTTGATCCTCAGCATCACATAAAAACAAATAAACAAAATAAAGGTATTGTGTGAAATTAAAAAATAAATATTAAAAAAAGAATTTATCTTTAGAGATTATTAATGAAACTTTATGGTGAGTAAGCCTGCAGAATAATATATGTGTACTATCTTACCTTTGTGGAGGAGGGACACTGGGTGACCACGATCTAGTCCTTCCTATAACATCTACTCGATGAGGAGAACCTGAGGGTGAACAATGGTTTGATGACATTACTTGTTCTGGCACTGATAATGTTGAGCTTTGAAGATCTCGACCATTGTGACGATAATCTGAAGTAGAAAAGATTAACAAATATAGTTATCTACACACTAAGTCCCTTGTGTATTTTGTAATTGACTCAAAAACATAAAATATTGATGAAGCTGAAAGACCATGTTAAATGTAAAGTATAATTAATGAAGTAAAATATTAAGTAAAAATAACATTTTATAAACAAATAAATTAAAAGAAATGACAAGTGTTCAAATATTAAAATAGTTATTGTGTTCAAGGCAATGTGAAGGGTAGAGTAAAATTTTCATATATACTTACATATACAGTAAATCTTTTATATACATATATACAAATATGCAGTTATGATCTTCAAAAAAAACAGTAAATTTAGTATCAGGTAACTGTATTTAAGTGGGTTTGTCTCTGTATCTTCTATTCTGTACCACTGGTCTACATACCTGTTTTGGTGCTAATACCATGTGGTTTTTGTTACTATAGCTTTGTAGTATAGTTTAAGGTCTGGTATTGTGATGCCTCCTGCTTCGCTCTTCTTGCAAAGGATTGTTGTGGCGATTTGGGTCCCTTATTTTTTCCAAATGAATTTCATGATTGTTTTTTCTATTTGTATAAGTAATGATGTTGGGATTTTAATTGAAATCATATTGAATCTGTATACCTCTTTGGGTAGTATGGCCATTTTGACAATATTAATTCTGCCTATCCAAGAGCATGGGAGATCTTTCCATCTTTTAAGGTATTCTTCAATTTCTTTCTTTAGTGTTCTGTAGTTTACATTATAGATGTCTTATACCTCTTTTGTTGATTTCCAATTTTTTTTTGAGGCTATTGTGAATTGGATAGTTTTCTTAATTTCCCTTTCAGAGGATTCACCACTGATGTATAGAGAGGCATTTGATTTGTGGATATATATTTCTATCCTGCTACTATGCTGAATTATTTATTAATTCTAGAAGTTTTCTGGTTGGATTTTTTTGGATCCCTTAAGTATAGAATCATTTCATTGGCAAATAATGATAGTTTGAGTTCTTTTCTTATTCATATTCTTTTAATTTCTTTCATCTGTCTAGTTGCTCTAGCTAGAGTTTCAAGGACTATCTTGAATAGAAGTGGTGAAAGTGGGCATCCCTGTCTTGTTGCACTTTTTAGAGGGAATGCTTCCAATTTTTCTCCATTTAGCATGATGTTGGCCTTGGGATTGGCATAGGTAGCTTTTACAATGTTGAGGTATTATTCCTACTATCCCTAGTTTTTCTAGTGTTTTGAATATGAAAGGGTGCTGTATTTTGTCAAATGCTTTCTCTGCATCAATTGATATAACCATATGAATCTTACCTTTAAGTTTACTGATTTGATGAATTATGTTTATTGATTTCTGTATGTTGAACCAATGATGTATCCCTGAAATGAACCTCACTTGATCATGATGCACTATTTTTTACTTCATACTAGACAAAGGTGCCAAAAAATACATTGGAGAAAAGATAGCCTCTTCAATAAATGGTGCTGGAAAAACTGGAAATCTATATGCAAAAATGAAACTAAACCCTCTCTCTCACCATGCAGAAAACTCAACTCAAAGTGGATCAAGGACCTGGGAATTAGATCAGAGACCTGCACCTAATAGAAGAAAAAGTAGGCCCAAATCACCATCATGTAGGATTAGGCCCTGACTTCCTTAACAAGACTCCTAAAGTGCAAGAAATAAAAT